CAGCTATATTATAAATATTTTGTTTTAATCTTACTAGTGATCCTACTATAAGTTCAAATACTATTACTCGTGATATTGAGAGATTACGAATAATATTAACTCTAACAGATCCTAAAATAATATTTGATTTATGAACAAATAATGGATTTAATAGAACAAAATTTAATACATTTTAGGATAAAATAAAAGTTTATTTTAATGAACAAGTAAGTTTTATATTTACTTATTTATTGAATATTTTATTGAAAAATGCTCTAAATTATTTAATTTATTAGAATTTATTAATGGTAAATAAAAGATGTCATGAAAATATTCTATATATGTCATTAGCTTTATCTATTTGTGACTTTCATAAAATTATAATAGAAAGATTAAAAAATCTTTATAGTGATTCTCTTCTCTCTAATATTTATATTCTATCAAATGAGTGGATTCATCTTCAATTTTGTTTTACAAATACTAAAACAATACGATCAATACTACATACTAGCTGATTTAATATAAAATTTAAGATATAAAGTCAGCTGCTTTAAAAAAATAGTAATGATATATATTATTGTGTAGCACATTTTTGATATTTTAGGAAATTTACATTTAATATTGTCAATAGATTTGCTTAATTTCAGCAAATAATAAGCATAAAATTCCTATTAAAGAAGATGTTACAGTTTTTATAGATATATAAAATCAGCATTCTATAGTAACTTAAGATGATATTTTAGCTGCAGTTGATCATGACTTTATAAAACTTTCATTAACTCCTTTAGTTACATTTTTTATAACAATTCCTAATGATATTTTAAGATCATTTTATAAAGATCAGATATTTGTATCTTATAAGAATACAATTATTAAACTAAGTATTCCTATTAGACATTTAGCTAAATTTTTAAATGCACTTAATATCTAATATATACATCAAGTAATAGTATTAATTTTATGTCTTTATACTGATAGAGGTTCAGATTATCGATATAATTATAGATTAATACAAATTTCATTGATTAGTTTTTTTCTTCATGAAACTTTGATTTGCTTATTGCAATTCATATAGCTCTAAATTATAATTGAATAAATCTAGCAAAATGTATTATAAGTTCTTTAAATTTGGATCTTTAAGGTATAGCACTTAAATGCAATTCAATAAATTTTGAATCTAAAAGTTTATTTAATACAGTAAATATTTTAGATGATATTCATAAAAAACTCAAGAATCTAATAAATTAGAATCTGAATTAAAAGAAAGTATAGCATGTATTAAAGAAATATTAAAGAATCAAATAGAATGACTTAAATTAAAAAAAATACAAATTTAAATATTATGATCTAGTAGATAAAAAACAATTGAAGAGTTATTTAAAATAAAAAATTAAATATATTTAATATATTTTCTTATAATTTATTAATTTATAATTTAATTTTACATAGGTGATTTATGATATAGATTCAACTTTAAAAATTGAAGAATCTATACAAACACAAATGTGTTAATATTCTAACTTAATTAAATTTACAAATACTCATTATTGAATACATACTTACAGTTTTTAAATTTGTATTATAAATTTATAATATAATCAAATAATTTTTATATTTCTAATTTATATTAATTTTTTAGATAAAAAATGTAACAATATTACCTTCCCATACTGTAAGCTAATTCGTCTTCTATTAAATAAATTTTGTAATTTGAGTTTTCTTCTAGATCTAATTTCTTCATCAATTAAATTTATATATTTTAATATTTATTTTGATTTTTAAAAATACTAATAATTTTTAAATAAACAATACAGATTATTATGTAATTTTTAACACGTTTATAGAACTAAAATTACTAAAGAATTTAAACTAACATATATACAATTATAGGAAAATGCGAAGCTAATTTTAAAAAGTATTTTAATTAGAAAAAAATCTGTAATTATATTAGTTGTGAATATTGTTAAAAATGTCATTGTATATATAGCTTTAAATGATAAAGAATAGTATAATTATCAACAAGCATTAGAATTCTATTCATATTCTTGTGGTATACCAATTTTTCTAATGATCATTATTTAAAAGAAATAGTATTTGTACGTATATGAATTAATTATAATTTATCAATTGAAATATTATATTACTCAAGTCATAAATTGGAAAATTATCTAATCTGCTATTATTGTGAAGAAAGAAAAGATTTTGTAACTCTTTCTCAATCATTGAAAAAATATTTTAAATAAATATATTCATTATGTGAAATGTGCTATAAAAATAAAAAAAGAGTTTTATACTAAAGAAAAGATTAAAACTAATCAATATACTTCAAAATGATGTAAAATATAGATTTATAATAGTTGTAATAAAATATTATAATAATATTATAAAGCCAATAGAATTATAGCATTTTAACACATGATTATATTATATATATATATTTTTTATCCACCTTCTCAAATTAAATATTGGAATTGAATCTTATTCAATTCCCAATAATGGACTATTAGACTTTGGACCTAATGGAAATATCCAATCTAATTTCAATTCAAATGGACTATAATTATATAATATTAACTAAATTATAATTTTAGCCTAACTTAAAAATTTAATAAAATCGTTTAATTTGAACAATCGATAATAAAATCATTTTAATTATACAATAATAAAATCATTCAACTAGAACAATTCTATTGACCTTAATTTTTTAGGTAATAGAAAGTTTAAAAATAATATTACAAATACTCCAAATTTATTTCATCCTACTAGAGAACAAAATTTTAAATAGAAACATCTAGATATTTATATTACAAGTTTAGGAAAACCTAATTATTTATTAAATTTTTTATTAGTAATAATTAGTAAATTATAACAAATATCAATAAAAATAATTTACATATTGCTAAAATTTTATAGTTGTTAGATGAAGTCTATAGTCTAATAGTTTAAATTTTAATGGAATTGGAATAGACAAAGTCTATTAGTTTAGCAGTCCAATGATCTAAAAGTTTATTAGTTTAAAATACCAACACTGCTTATATTATTATTTACTTATATTATGTTAATATAGAATCAAGTTTGTATGACTTAAATTATATTATTTCTTCAAGTATTTTGCAAGCAAATTTGTCTGCAATTTTATTTAATAATTAAAATTATTTATAATATTTTTAAATAATTTTAAAATAATTTATTTAAAAATTAATATTTTTATAATAAATTTTATGATATTTTCTAAGTAAAAATTCAAAAAAAAATAAATAATTAATAATATTTTAAAGATAAATATATGATAAATTATTATGAAAAAAAGTTAAAATTTTAAACTTATATATATTATTATCTATTAGTTTTAGAAATATAAAAATATAATTATTTAATAAGTCTTAATAAGATAAATCTAATAAACTAAATTTTATTTTCTTGTAATAATTAGATAATAAGTTATTTTAAAAAATTGAAAATTGAAAATTAATATATATTAATAATTATTAATCTTTTTATAATTACTAGATATTAAAATATTATAATTTTTCTATAATATTTTAGAATTAATTTATACCTAATCTTTAAAGAATAACTAAAAAATTGAGTCTAAATTTTTTAAGTCTAAATAATAATTATTTTATTTAAACTTAAATAATTTTTGTTTATAATAATATATAATAATTACTTAATAAAAATAAATAATAAGTTTTTTTAATATTTTAAAATTTAAAATTTAGAATTTAAATTAAGTTTTTAAAACTGATTCTATACTTAATAATTTTATCAAAATTATCATTTTTAAATATCATTTTTATTTTTTATAAATTAATTATAAAATATTTATGATATTTTTTTGATAGAATTATTTATTATATACAAAAGTAATTAGAATTTTCTAGTGTTAGTAATTTTTTAAATTATAAAGATTCATTTAATATTTTATATTAATTCAAAAAAATTTTTTTGTAATTTTATTTCTTTAACTACAAAACTTTTATATAATCTTATATTTTAATATAAATTTATATAATCTTATAAAATATAACTTTAATATAATTTTTAAAAAAAAAATTTTAATAATATATTTAATTAATTATAATAATATTTTTCTTTTAAAAATTAAAATTATTTATATTTATTTAATATTTTACTATATTATATAAATTTTATATAAATTTTTTTTACAATAAAAATAAAAAATATTGTAGTATTTTATTATATTTTGCATTAATAATACTTATTAAAATTATTTTTAATTCTTAACTGATTAAATTAATTTTAAATTTTAAATTAATTATATTTAACAATTTTATTATAGATTTGTTATATAACTTTATATTAAATTAAATATATAATAAAATATATATTTTATCAAAATAAATTATAAATAAATAAATTTAATCAAAGTAATTAAATTATTAAATTTTTTAATAATTACTAATTCTATATTTATATAATTAATAATATGCTTTTACATAATAATTTGATTAGAAAATAAATTTGTTAGATTATACTTACAAATTTATCTAAAAGTATATTTTTAATTTTTTAAGTGTATAAATCAAATCTTTGTGTATAATCTATTATATGTAATATAATAGTAATTATAATTATAAATTTAGTTACATATATATTTTTTTATATAATTTATAATATAGAAGGTTTTCTATTAAAATCATAATACAAATCTTATGATTTACTATTTTTGAACTTTATTAATAGCAAATTAATGTAAAAAGTAAAAAATAATAATTATATAATTCAAAAATTAAAATTTTATAAATAGTTATTACTTGATAAATACAGTTGATAAGTCTCTATTTTTAAGTATCCCCCAGCCTAAAGGACAAGCCACGTGAATAATTAAGGCAATTTTGAAGGTTACATCAGAATTAATGTAACAAACACCAAGGAGGGTTACACTACAATTTGGTTGTTTACAAAAATATAAATCATTTCTTATTTTTTTTTTTTTTTAAAAAAAATAGGGCTATTTTTTTGTTTCCTTTCAAAAAAAAAAATATTTTTTATTCATAATGTCATATTCCTCAGTAACAAGCGAACCAGAAAATGCCACAACCATAGATAGCAAAAGAGGATTAGATACACACACTTCACCTCTAACTGGAGGTCAAAGGAGTCGTTCAGATTTGAAGAGACATAGTTTATTTAATAATAATTCCAACTCAATCAACCCTGAAAAACCTCAACATATAAAAATTGGTTTACCTTTTAATTCTCAATTATCCAAAAACTTAAATAATGAACAAGAATTATATGGCTCACATAATCGTAAAACTATAAATGAAATATGGGAGATGGCATGGGTTGAAAAAGATAAATTTAGCAAGAAATTTTGGTTTGTCTTTGTCATAACCCTACTCACATTTTTTGTATTGACATTATCCGGATTTGGTGAGTTTTTTGTGAAATTTTTATTTTTTTTATTTTTTTTATTTGATGAATAGTCAAAATATTAAATTCTTTTTTTTATTTAGTAATTTATCTATATTACACAAATGAAGATTGATTTTTTGGATGTGCATTTTCCGGATAATTTTGATGATAAGAAGAGATCTTTTTTTTTTTTTCCTTTTTTATTATTTCGCCTTTGTATCAAAAATTGGAATCGATTAAAAGAAAACTTTTTGTTGGTTTTAATCTGGGCGTTTTAGTAAACGAGCATACCTTTTAAATTTAACGCATACCGCGATTCGATATGTATTTAAAGGATGAGAAGTAAAGCGTTCTTTATCTTGGTTTATCTCTAAACAAAATCAGTGTATATCTCTTATGTAAGATTTACCTCATCTATTGAATTGTATAAATAAAACTTTTAAACTTAAAATTCATGATCTGAGCTATTACCAAATGGGTATTATTCACCAATCACATTGCATCTACAAATTCCGTTTGATCTTGAATTAAAAATCAATTCGGATCAAATCGGACAAGAAAATCTAGTCGGTAAATAAATAGGAACAGCATTTAAAAGAAAAACAGGTTTTCCGTTCCCAAATAAATTCTTGTTCGGGACACTTGACAACCTAATTATAGATTTCGAGAACTTGAATTTAATGAAAATTTGATCAGATCTTAATTTAATAATTTAATACAAGCAAACTAATTGTACTTTCCTATGCTTGATTGACGCCAACCAAATAAAGTTCTGACAATGAAACAATCTGCAATGTCGAACATCAAACACCCCTTAATAAGCATTAGGCGTCAACTAATGACAATGTCCCCAATGCACATGTTTATTGTGCGTCATAAATCTTTTTGCATAAAAAAAAGAAAAATCGTTTGGAGAGAATTTTTTCCATTGATACTGGGATTTTTTCATATAATTATGAAATATAAATATGATGGGTTATAATAATCCAAGAGAAGATGAAAGACTCGGTGAAGTTCAAGGTAATTATCGTTATTTTAATTACTTATAAATAATTTACTTTTATCACGTGAACGAAAATTAATTAAAGAAAAAAAAATACTTATTCATTAGAACGATATACAATTATAAGAAGTTATAGCAAGGGTAAGAAGGTTGAGATATATAAAGGATATGAAGTGAATAAACCGAAAGTTTATTACGTGATAAAAAGCTATAACATAAGAGATGCATTCGAAAGAGAATTACAGATATTACGCGAATTAGCAAATGCAGGGGTTTGTATATTATTTTAGGTTTATGAATTTATTTCAACTTGAGAATCCAAAAAGTTCTTATTGTACATAAAATAAGTAGAATATTATGCAAATGATAAACCATTACCCATCGCAAGCGGTTATCGTATGCGAATGTGCATTATATTGCCTAGAAACCTTTTTGGGTCACCAAGAATATACCCAAAGACATGAAGAGGAACGTGATATAATAAAGGTAAAAATTATTACATATTTTTATTTTAAAACGAATGTAACAAAATAGTAATTTTTGTTTATTATTAGGACGTTGTATCGGGTCTCTCGGAACTTCAAAAGCATAACATAGGTAAACATTCATATATAAGGCAAACTTATATATGAAGGTGAAAAATCTAATTAACAAAAATTTCTTGACCCATGTCTTTTAATAGTGCATACTGATCTATCACCAAAAAATATCATGTACTTTCAAGAAAAGGACGGCGAAAGATGGAAATTGATTGATTTTGACGCAGCGTGTTTTGTTGGTAGTTCCAATCATGTAAACCTCATAACAAATTATTCGGCTCCCGAAGTCATAAAGGCATACGATGAGAATATAGAAATTGAAGCTAATTTTGCAATGGACATGTTCTCTTTTGGACTAATTTTATATCTTTTTGAAACTGGTACTTTGTTTGGATTTCTTAAGTTTATAAAGTTCATTGAATGGCGCAGTAAAACTTTGGTTTAATTAGGTCATCATTATTGGGATGGAGAGAATAAAGAAGAAAAAGAAATGATCTCCTCATTTAAATACTTGCCGCTTGGTAATATTCGCGATTCCGATGCTTGCTTTGCTATAAGACAATTGCTCAATAAAAATATTTCTAAAAGAATGACGTTAGAGAAATTCATGGTAAAAAAAATTTAAATTTAATTACTAATCATTGGTATTAAAATAAATGCTTTTTCATTTTTTTTTTTTTTCTTTTCTTAGCTAACGCCATATTACTCTGGTGAATCGGGTAAGCAATAATAATAATCATAATATGATAATTTGGTTAGCAATATATTCTAAAAATGCGTTGTAATTGTAGAATCCATATCTAAAACCATGTCTTTAAAGCGTAATAAGCGTAATAGCATGAACAGCCTGTATTCAACGCATTCGATACTTATGGAAGGTAGATCGACAAGTAAAATCATATCATTTCACTTTTATATTAATTCGACTTTTCTGGTTTAATTAGAACCATTGGATATCATTTATGATGAATCTCGATATGGAATGAGTGAGGCGGAGTTTCTGTTATATCAAGCAAAATTGACACAGGTAAATATCTATTTAGTTTTAAAAGGTTAAAATTATACATATATATATATAAATATTAAAAATGTTTTCGAAAAATCATTTTCTTTTAGGGAACATTTCAAAATTTCCTTGAAAGATATCATAGCGAAATGAAACAAAGCCTAAAAATAATGAATGATAAAATCGACAATTGTACGAGGGCCGTAGAGGATTTGTCTGAATTAACCAAGAAAATTCCACAATGGGTAAGTGACTTTTCGAATTCAGAAAAATTCATAAAATCATCGTTTGTTACAAGTCATCTTATATCATCTCCCCCCCAAAAAAGCTGCTCAAGTTGAAAAATGAAAAGGTTCCTAGAGTATTTGTTATGATCCCTGATCGAAAAGATTGGAAAAGACCAGCGTAAGTAATATGAATTTCAAACGTCAACTATTTTAAATTATACTTTAAACATTATTTTTATTATTCATCCTAGGACATGGTTGTTTTCAAAGCCATTTCGTATTTTATTTATTTGCGAACACAAGGAGCAATGGCACATCCCAGATCAAGAAGGTTACAAAGTTCTTGAAGTACCCCAGTTTATTAAAAAATATGGACCTTGGATAAACCTTTGGTGAGTTACCATATATATTTTAAAATTTTTTTTATAGACATTAATTATGAAATAACAAAATTAACATCAAATATTTTAATATTTTCGATTAGTTTACGGACATTATCCTCCGTTATAAGTGTTATGACGTCGAACATCTTCCCAAATGGTGTTGCAGACCTTTTATCATCAATCTTTAACATAGCTGATCATTTTGAACTTATTCAACATTTTCAGGAAATTATTGACACTGTTGATATCGGTGTAAAAACAATGAATGATGAGAATCCCGAATTTGCTCCTTTGAGCAATGAAGCTCATATTCCTCATCAAATGATAAATGCTTCAGGTCTTCATATGCTAAGAAGTATGTAATATTTTAACACTTTTTACTATTTTCAACAAATTAATAAATTACTTTGGAATGTTTGATTAGAATTTCTAGATACGCAAGAAAATGCGGATCATCTCGGTGGATTGATGCAATGCGTTGATGATGAAACTCAAGAAATTTTATGGTTATGTGAAGAACATAGAAATGGTTATAGCGTTAGATCTACTGAGCAAGAAGAAATGGTACCCACTCCTCCGAATTCCGATTCATCTCAAAGAGTTCAAGTGTCATCATCAAAATCTTTACGTTCAAAACCTCCCGGTTTACTTAAACTTCCGCCTCAAAATCTATTATCGAGTCCACAAAAATCTCCTCAAAGATCTCCTCAAAGATCTCCTCAAAGGTCTCCGATTTTCAAGCAACGTCCAACGGTTCAGCAATTTCCTTCTATGAACACGTCTACACCTGAGACTTCTCCTACCGAAACTTTATTCGTACCTCCAGAGAAATTCGTACCTTTAGAAGTTGATTACAAAAAATTTGATTTAAAAGATTCAAGAGATTGTTTAAACCCGTATCTTGAATTAGAATATTTACATAAAATACTATACGAAGTGATAGAGAACGCGATTGCTTCCGGAAGAAAACATTTTAGAAACGAAGATATTATGCAAATTGCAGAAAAACTGCGTGAGCGCAAGAATAAGTTTAAACTTTTATGTCCACTTTGGCATGATATTGCCCAGAAATCTCAATTTATAAACATCGTAAATAACCAAGTAGATTTATACGTTCATTTCCTAAGGTTAATTGTACGTTATTGTGTTGGTAAGATATCTTTCTATTCACGAAATTAATTCGAGCTATCACGCGGTTTTCTAATGCGTTTTTTTTTCACGCTACCTACCTAGTTAAAGATTTTAATTCAGTTAAAATGCAACTGTCCTTCTTGGTCACCGACACGTACGAAATTAACCAGTTAGTATTCCTAATACATATTTTAAATAATGTGAAAATTTTTCTTTTACTTAAATTTTTTTTTTTTTTGAAAAATTATTAGAATTATAAGAGCCGGAAGATCATTCAATAAACATCTTGACAAATTATCAGTTGCTTTGGAAACGTCACAATATAACCCCGATGAGAATGACGCAATTCAAACTGAATTGGATCGCTTCATTAATGAACCAAAACTTGAAGTATCTATTGAGGATTCAAATATAATTCATGATAAGGACCTGTCTCAATGGTATTATACAGTTGATCGAACGTGCATTGATAATTTCCTATCTCCATCTGAAGAAAAAACAACTCAAGGAACAATTTTTAATACGACGACACGACTTTTAGACAATTGTGTAATTGTTACGGGGAGATCGTTAAAATATCTCGATCACATTGAAAATCTGATGTGTGTCGAGAAAGAGATTTACCTTTACAACGGACATCAATTGAATGAACAAGAATTTATCATTAAATTTTATGGGTATTCAATTCAAAATTGTAAACCCACGCTATTTTATGAAAATACCGATTATGGTGACCTTTTCACATACTTCCAAGTAAATCATGATTCATCAGGGAATCTTATAAAAGATTGGAAAGGAAAAATTAAGTTAGCATGGGAAATATCGCAGGGCATAAAATCTTTACATGAGGTAGACATATTTTTTTTTTTTATTTTAATCCCATCTTTTTTTTTTGTTTAGAATAAAAATTGGCATTTATTTAACCAGTTACGAATTTACAGCAAAGAATTTTACATTTAGATCTTCGAAGCGCAAATATATTATTGCAATATGACGCAACGAACGAATCGCTGACACCGAAAATATCTAATTTTCTTTGGAGCAAAAGCTTCAAAACTTTTGTTTTCCCAAAAATACCGATTCCATCAAAGGAAAAGATTTGGAAACGGTGGCATGATCCAGGAAGGCTTTTAAATGAAGAAAACTTTGAATCGCTTCTTCCGTCATCTGATATATATAGTTTAGGGTTATTGTTTTGGGAGATCGCTTGGTGTAGAGCAGATAATTTGCCATTTAAAGTAGTTCCAATTAAGAGTCTACATAAACATTTACAAACTAAGAAAGAAATCTTGCCTCAGATACCAAAAGAATATAGACAGTGGGAACTTTTAATTGGTAAAATGTGGCAACAAATACCAGATATTATGACTGTGGAAACAATCATGAGAAAATTATTTAAAGGTAGAACGGATTCAATGCCGCAGTCACCTATTCCAACATATCCCCCTCCTCCATATATCTCCATAACGTAATTTAATATAAAATAGATATGCACTAAGTTAAAATTAATTGGTTAGATTGTCGACAAATTTACCTGCATGATTTCCGAATTTCAGAACCTTTTTTATTTTTATTAATATATATAATTACACAGCCGTATATGATTATTATACTTTGTCCGTGGAGTAATTTTTCACGGACAGAGTTTATTTATACTTCGACCATGATAT